GGGCAAGGGGAGGCCCCGGGAGATTGTGACAGTGCCATTTCTTCTCGAGATGTGACTTCGGGAATGCCGCCGTAGCAGAGCAGGTGTAACACGAGCCGCAAGTTGAACATCTTCTAGGGTGCATCTCGGGTAATTGATTTTCCGACGGTAGTCGGGCCCTTTCGAGGGACTTTAATTTCGTGGGAAATTCGGGTATCTCGGTTAGTGCTGGGGACGTCGTGCGTGAAATTATGAAGTGCTGGCAGCATCCTATTTCGCTCATTGGCCGGCCCATCGCGAGCATTTATTTCATTGGCCGGCCCGAGGGCTAGCCTCAGCGGCGGCAACCAGTATAGCGGCCGATGCTGGAATCTCCACCTTAGAGGGCCCCGCGCTCCTCGAATATGTAATGACGTGCAACGATCCCAGCGGCTTTGAGGTCCGCAAACATGTGGGTGAGGCACATAAAAAGACGCGACTTCGGACGATTGCGAGGCGACGCAAACGGGCAGCCCCACGGGGTAAAATGGGCCGCGGCAGCTTCCCCCGACCCGATTCTCGGTCGCCTTTGAGCCACAGAGCGTCGGGAATCGTTCGTCATGAGGGTGATCAGATCCACTCGCGGCAGCTCTTCGGCTCGAGCCGATTTGATCGAGATCACCTCACCGCCTCCGGGAGGCGACGCCGCGGGTGACATGGTGCTCACCACGCAATGCATGTTCCAGGCAGGCAGCGCGGTCCTTTGCGAGCCGCTCGAGAAGGACAATCGAGGGGGTGTCACCTCGCACTCGCGCTGCCAGCTCGACCCCCAGCACGAGGCTGGGCCCCTCGTCGGCCGCCGCCCACCGTAACGGCCATTCTCGTCATCCACGGGCTGCCCCGACGCAAACAAATTTGATCACCTTCGACCGGTGGCCTTTCCGGAGCGATTCGCTGCGGGACCCGAGGCGCGGCATGGTCCATAGACCAAGCGCAGCGCCAGGTCTTGGAATCGACGCAGCTGCTTGCCCCGGGACAGGCAGACGGACGACGCCAGTATATCGAAGCCGCTGCTTTTGTTGAAGCGCCGTGTAATTCGCCGCCAATAGAATGCTTGAGTTCCTTCCTATTTCCAATAACTTCCAGGACCGCGCCGTCCGGGCTCGATAGGGACCCCATATTTATCTTCTATTTCCCGGGCATTCGCCGGTATGCGTGGTTAGCCCTGGCTAATTCCCCCGATGTGGTCTGGGCTAAGTTGAACCGAGGTCGATCTCGTGCTTCTGTACTAGTCAGAAAACGGGGAAGAACTGCCAGCAAGTGGACTAATAATAGGCAACTAACATATCCCGCCGGCGGGATATGTTAAACGCCACTTCAACTTGGACTTCAACTAGAGAGATAGAGAGTTTTGTATCTCCCTAGTGGCTCGCTGGTACAGAGCCACCCAATATCCTTGGATATTGGTTGCTCATTATTTGTTCAGGCCGTTTAAGTGGGTGCTAGAACTGACTTAAGAAGGAGGCTACTCCCGTAGCACATGAGCGTAGACTCAGGCACGGTACCGCACAGATAAATTGTCAGCGAGGTCATTATAATATACGAAGACAGGAATCGCTCTTCGGGCGCTGCAGTGCCCCTCTAGCTAGCTAGACCAAAGACAGCTGTTGTCGAATCCAAGATTTGACCAGGCAGCCCTGAGCTTCTGTGATGTCTCCTAGCTCGCTAGAACAAAATGAGGTCGATGATCTATACGAACGAAGAGTCTTCATGAGGCAGAGTCGACTATGGAGTGACGAATTGAATGTTACACGGCGATTACTGGCCAGAGCGAAACAGCTCTTAAATGCGGACGACACGTTGCTGAGACACCAGTGTAATTGTGAATTACGCTCTATGAGGGAGCAATTGATTTCATGGCGAACCGCAGCAGAGATTGCCCGAAAGGACCATGAAGCAACACTTCGTGTGGTAGATTTGCGCACTAAAGAACGGGACGCGGCAAGACACGAAGCAGCTTCTAATGCTGAAGCTCATGTCACTGCTAGAATGGAACTTAATGTTTCAAAATGTTCTGCTGCAGAGACTGAAAGGGCCATAATCCTGAATAAGTCAAACAAGTTTGCTGCTTTACTCGCAGAGATCGGTACTCAGAAACACGATGCAGATCAACTCCGACGACAAATATCTGACATCAGGCAGGAACTACTTTCGCTGCGCCAGCAGCTTACAATTCTGTCTAAAGAACGTGATGAGGCTGCTCATGAAACCTTGTCTGCGAGAAGAGAAGCAGAGAGAATGGGACAACTTTTGACGGTGAAGGCCACGTCAGAGAAAACGCACGAATCTTTTGGCAAAACGAGCAAATTTTTCGCTGCTGAAAAGGAGCGAACCGCTGCTCTGAAGAAGCAAGCACACTACCAAACTCAATTGATTAACGAACGGCACGCGAGAAAGCGCCTAGAGAACGCACTCGTGAAGGCAGAGAGACGATTGCACATAGAGAAGCGCGCAGCACACAAGACCATAAAGGTGCGAGAAAGAACTGCAGAAGAAAAGAGCCACCTCGCATCACACTCTGCCTCCATTGTTTCCCTGGCAGCAGATACGCCTATTATTACGCGTAAATTAGCGTGTGCGAAAAGTGCCAAGATTCGTACAGACCACATTTTCAAGGCCCTGCGCCTGCGATGTCTATTTCTGGAGCACCAGCTTCAAATCGCTGCTTCTGTGAGAACTTGCTGGCAACGTGAGCGAACTCTACTGCTTGCATCAATACGTGATGCTCATATGGCAATACAGTACCTTCTCGCAGGATCTCGTATGACAGCAAAACAGAAACCACTGGATCTGAGAGGTCGGGCTGAGAAACAGCTTGAACACATTTACTACCTTTTGAGATGTGCAGATGCCAAGGTTTTGCCCAGCAGGGACTTTACCAATCGCATTATAGCTGCAAGAAGAGCACCAGCTTCTCAAAAACTTCATGATGCCGTACACTGGGATCTTGCGCCAGCTGACCCCACTGATATAGAAGGTGTTGGACTGGTTGAGCGGCTTGGTTTTCGTGGGTTAGCTTCTCACATAGCAGATATTGCGCTGAGTACTAAAATAAAAATGGGCAACGAAAATGCTGAAATTTCTCCAGCAAATTTGGGGCGGCGGATGAGGACAGCCGTGGCCGAGGAGATTATTGCTAATAAACTTGCTGAGGTAGCCACAACCGTGCGTTGTGTTGATTCTGCCAGAAAGTGTGTTGAGCCTTCAGTGTCATTTGACGCTGTAGCAGTTACCCAAACCAAGGAGATGGCGCACCTTTTCGCCGCCAGAGATGAGACTGAAGTTTCTGCCAAGTGGAGAGCAGCATTACAATACATTTGCTCGATTTGTTCTCATACGACAAAGCTCAGGGGAACCCATCTTGTACACCTCGAACTGTCATCACTGTATCTGGATGATAATTCTTTTCTCCAAATTTTGCATTTACTTTTGGCGACAAACAAAAAGCAAAAGAGTCGCATACGCGCCAGGGGTGTTGCGCTTCATGACCGACAGGTTTTGCCTGCAACTCAGTTCTTTCACATGCAAGATATGCTGGGATTCCCGGCTCTAACAATTCCAAATTTACTCTCGCATCTCATTCTACACCACAATGCCTTAGGTGATCTAGCTGCCTCTTCGATCGCCATGCATCTCATTCCTTTCTCTCCTGTTTTGGCGAATGTGGATTTACAGCACAACAGAATTTCAAGAGTAGGCATGCTCGCATTGGTCCGTGGTGTTAATGGCAATCCGACCGTTCTTTCGGTAACATCGCCAGCAGGTTGGGGATATTTACTCGATGGACACATGGGAGATTCAGTCATCTGTGGGTGGCGCGAGCATGGTAGAGGCGCGATTAAGCCTCTGCTTGTTTTGAAGCAACTTCGGGAGAATACGCCAGGGATCGACGATCAAAACCCTAAAATGCTGACAGGAACTCTGCCACTGGTAGTTGACTTGAGTAACAACGGCCTTCGACGGCGCATCTAGCGGGCGCATCTAGTCCAGGTCAGTGCGCTAAACCCATGGTGGCTGCTATATATTATAGTCCCCAACTTGAAGTTAAGCGCCATTCGGCTTTCTGGTTGTGCGCTGTGCCTTTTAGCTGTGGCATGCTGCTGTCCAGGCACACCATGATCGGCTTGGCTGTGCTGGGTGCTACTAGTGCAGAAGGAGAGGGTACTTCAAGGGTATCTGTGCACAAGCCTGGACTGCACACCAACTTGAAGCTTGACGGCAGCTTGTGGCGCACACAGGGGAAGCACGGCCGCGTAGCGGCCGTACCACGTACCTTGGTGAAGGGTCTGTTTTCGGAGCCCCGGAGGGGCGACGACTCCTGCGGACGCGCCTCCCAGGCGCGTCCGCAGGAGCTTTTTTCGACCGCGGCCTTCTGCTACGACATGCTCGACTGCGACGGCGTCAAGATCCTCTATGTTAGCACTGAGGTGAACCCAGCGAATGGCCTGACCGCGGCGGATGCGCCCGGTCGATTCGCCCGGGCCATGGACGCCGTCACGGGTCGAGAGCCGCAGGGCAAGTAGAGAGATAGAGAGTTTTGTATCTCCCTAGTGGCTCGCTGGTACAGAGCCACCCAACTTCCTTCCCCTCCTTAATACTTTCTAACCCTGTTATAGTTGCTTCCCGCAGTGTAATAGACGGAGAGTCTTCCTGGACCTAGTGAGGCAGGTCCTCTGCCCGTTCGTCCAGTAGCCCCAGCCCCCGTATACTACGGCAGCTGAGGTGACGTGAGGAAAACAGAGACGCCGGTGTACCGCCACTGCGTAACCTCGATAGTTCACCCTCACACGGCAGGGCAGCCCCACTAGGCTGCCTCCCCGTGTCGGAGTTTACTATCTCGTTAGCTCGAATCTGTTGAACCCGGCTCAGCTACCCCTGTTGACACCGCATAAATCTCGCCAAACCGCCTCAATAAATCACAGTGACTACATATTTGCCATCGGGTCTCAGGACCCCGGATACTTTCCACTGCCAGTGCTCCAAAAATGTTCGCAGCGAGCCACTAAGCTACAGCAATTCCCCCACAAACGAGAACGCGTCGTATTTCCGCGGCCCGGGGTTCGGCGAGGTGGCAACGAACGGGACCCCAGGGACCAGGGGGCCGGCCCTTTGAAATACTTCGAAGTCTTCATTTAGGGCACCTCGGGGCCGTACTACCCAGCTACCTACCTCCCATCAAACTGTGCTGGATTCTCTGTAGTCCGGGGACCGCTCCTGCTACTTGACCAGTGTGGGTTGGCTGGGCTGATCTCGGGCTGATCTAGGAGTCACCCCACGAGTGGTACTGGCTCAATTTGAACTGGTCTGCCCCGAGCGCCCGCCCCCCGGACGGAAGACCACCGAATGCTATCGAACGCTTCTCGCCCCTTTCCATTGGAGCTATGTAGCTTCCTGGCATCGAAGCTACACGAGATGCCGGGCTGGATATCGAGCCTCTGGTACGCGGGGCATTTATTGGCCACTGGCCAGCTGGACAATACGTTGCCAGGACCTAGAAAGCATAATATTTCGCTCACGGGCCTGATCGCCTTTGCCCTGCTTCAAGTTGGAGCCTTTTTACCTTGGGCCGCCGTGTGCCTCTTACCCGTTGCTATTATTGTGCACTCCTCTGCCTCCGTCAGATTGATCATCAAACGCGCCAACTTGCTCATCGAACGCCAGGGGCCTCTCGTTCTTGAGTTCTACATGCCGCGGTGGCACCCTCCAGTGGGCGATTGCATGCACCACAGTCGCGACACCGTTTAAACCCATGTGATGATTCTGTGATAATGAATGATGTGTCTGAAGGGCTGTGGACCGCCAAGCGCGTAAAAAATCATCATAGTCTAGATACCCATCTCCATTTGAATCAGCCTCTGCTATTAATTGATCTACCTCTTCATCATCGTAATCAATACCCACCAGAGATTTAATGGATGCCGCATTCAAACGTTCGTTTCCATTCATATCCAGTGTGTCAAAAACATGCCGGACGTGTTTTTCATCGAGCTGAATTCGTTGCCACAAAGTTGCTGCAAGAAATTCTGTGAAATTAATCTGAGATGATCGGGAGATGTCAACCGCATTGAAGAGTTCCTTTAATTGGCATTCGTCTGTTTCCGTTCTTAGATTATTCTGAGGGTGATCACCACCAGGGATAACTTCCGGCTCTCTAGAGATGGATGAGAGGTCACGCACGGCCTGAGCTAGTTCAGAAAATGAGATGGTTCCAGAGCGATCAACATCTATGAACGCAAACAACTCTCTCATATTTGCTACCTGGGGCGGCGTGAGATGAAAAGCGGCTACTGCTAGTACAACTTTCTGCAGAGGAGTGGTTCCTGCGAACCCTCGTAAAGTTCCAAGAAGTTCGTCACACTGCCAACGTGGTAACATGCGAAGGTCCTTTGAACTCAGGTTTGTAGTCAACCATGGGTGCACAAGAGCATCTGATGCGCTCATCCGCATGTCGGGGTCATGTGTTAATAGTCTTGCAATGAAATCTTTTGACACAGGTGAAACCCCAGCAAAGAACTGCGGCGGGAATTCCCAACGCCCGGCCAAGATATTCCGACGAATATCGCGGTCATCCTTGCCCCAAAAAGGCGGCGCTCCTGAGACGAGCATATAAGCAATAACTCCCAGTGACCATAGATCACAGCGCGCATCGTATGAACCTCGGAGGACCTCAGGAGCAACATAGTACATGCTTCCTACAGCACCATGAATTCGTTCATGCCCGAGGAAATGTCGGGCAAGACCGAAATCTATCAGTTTGAGGTGAGACCCGGCTCGATGCTCAAAAAGCCAATTTTCAAGCTTGAGATCCCGATGCACAACACCGTTATCGTGAAGATACTGTACAGCAGAGAGCATTTCGGCCATGAAACAAGTGGCACACTTTTCTGAACGATGCTCGATAGATGTGTTCACTAGCTCGAATAGCTCCCCGCCAGTGCACAAGTCCATGATGAGATATATCTTACGACGCCCGAAGAAAACTTCGCGCAGACGCAAGACGTTGGGGTGGTCCAATTGGCGCATGGACGAAATTTCAGCATGCAGTTTGTCAACGTATTGCGGCCCGACACGATTGATGCTGAGTACTTTACAGGCAAATTCCTCACGTGTTGCACGATGAATAGCAAGACAAACTGTCCCATATGAACCTCTTCCTAAAACGCGATCAGCGGGAAGATCATAAACATCGGTGACACGTCGGCTCACGGCATCATGTTCAGCGACGCAATTTTCATGGAGATGCGAACAGAGACGGGCCAACTTTCGCACCCGCTGGCGTTGGGTGTCTAGCTCAGGAGTAAGATCACCGAAGCTGCGAATGACCTCAAAATAGACTGCTGCAGCGTGGAACCATCTTCTCATGTGTAGAGGATCAGAATGCTGCATCATGTCTTCTGCGAGTTTGATCGCATGCAGCGCATGCGTGGTCAATACATTTCGCGCCTCAAGTGGCAATTCTGGTGGAGGTGGCGAAGGAGCCCGTGGTAGGAGCAAACTGGGACTCCTCGCATGCCCAGAAACATGAGTTGTCGACCTAGATGCCGTGTCAGATAGTTGTTCAATATCGTCAACCGATGATTGAGAGCATATGGTCATCGTCGCAGGCATGGCACAAACAGACATCGCTGCAGCCGCGGCAGCATGACTGCGACAGCTGGATTGTTGATTTCTAGAACCGTTTCTCATTTCAAGCGACTGCAAATGCGGAGCCCCATCGATTGCGGCCGGTAAATTTCCACCGGCAGACGCACGAAGGTGACGAATCCATTTGCGGCGTCTTACAAGTGCCATTCCTGGTCCAGCTAAAGAATTGCCCTGCCGTAATCTTAATGCGAGCATCCACCAAGACAGTCCATAGCTCCATCCATTTTGATCACATGCTGTGTACATGAGATCAATAGACCATTCTCCATCCCATACAAAGTCATCCAGGGGAGGTGAGTCTATTGAATAAAGCGCAGATCTGCCACTGCATGAGGAGCAAAGCCCGTCTATTGTTGCCTATAGTTTTGTAAAATTGTGAGCTGTGGTTATTTGAACATTTAGATGACTCACCGAACCAGTTTCGTTGGAATACTGACCGCGCTCATATGGCAATAGATGCTGAGCAGACCAACCAACAAAAGGTGCATGTCGCTCGTTTTCAAAAATCTCCAGAGATGCTGTCGCTGGGCCCGTTGAAATACAGCATTGCTCTCTAGGGGTAGGGGGTATCATGTTTGGCATTCCCGAGCCGCTGTCGTCGCGCTGCTCGTGACAAAGTATGGCAACAGAGCCCAAAAACTCACAAACGTGATTCTGGTCCAGCGAGGCTTGTTGTATTTGGGCCGGGTGAGGTTTCAAGCGTTCTTGCCATGTTGCCAGGGTGCAGAGAAATTCCACGCACTCGTTGTTTGGTGTGTGCACATTCTGTCCCAGCCACAATGCATGGGAAATGCAATAATACGCAACCATCTGCGCCTCTTGTTGACGCGCCTCGCTCAGCTGGCCACTCAGTACGGTGTCCATGAGCGTATCAGCTTCGTGAAGAAATGGTGTGATCGGAAGAAGAAGAGAGGGAACCGCGGGAAAATGGCCCAAATGCGCGCTCGAGCCATTCATGTCACAAAATCTATTTAGCACTTAGCCAGGCTCAATTCGGCAATTATTTACGCCGCCGGCGGTCGAAGCTACGGGCGTGAACTACGCTCTCTGTGGACGGGCTCTCTGAGTGTCGTGATGTGGCTCGGGTGGCCGCGCTGGCGCTGGCGCTCAGGCTCCTGGTGGATGGTTCCCGCCAGTTCAGGGAGCGGGGGGATCCATGCTGAATGGCTATAATGATGGGTGCAGGTATCCTGTATATCTGAACGGCGCTGCGTATGAATCCAGACAACGAAGAAATCCAAGTCATTGATGATGAGCTCATTGCGACTGCTCTTCGCGAGACTATATCGACCAAATCACCTATGGATGCAACCACAAAGGAGTTGAGCGCAAGTGCCCTTGCGGATATGGTCGCGGAAGCGACAGAATTAAGTTTATCATTCAAAAACGTTCTCAAAATAGATAATCTACAGGGCTTCCAGACGCTCCGAAAGCTGTGCCTTGACAACAATATTATCAAATCCATAAACAACTTAGGCCACCTAACTAATTTAACATGGCTGGATCTCTCTTTCAACTGCATCACTAAAATAGATGGTTTGGAGAAGCTAGAAAAGCTCACAGATTTGTCATTATTCAATAATTTGATCACGGATATCGAAGGGTTGGAGCAGTGCAAAATCCTGCAGTGTTTATCTCTGGGAAATAACAATATCACTGCTCTTGATAGCATTGTCAGACTGCGCTGCTTCAGAAATCTACAACTACTCAACCTAGAAGGCAACCCTGTGTCTAGAGAAGGCGAGTACCGCATGTATGTTCTGGCGTATCTGAATGATCTCACGTACCTTGATTATTCCATGGTGATGAAGACCGAGACTGTTGCAGCTCGAGAACAATACCAAGACGAGCTTCTCGACGTTGAGGAGAAAGAAGCCCTAGAAGAAGAAAAGGCCACGAGAGAGCTCGCTGCGGCGAAGCATACCTTGAAATTACGTGATGCGAACTTAGCTGCAGTCGAAACTATCTTTGATGACATGTTTGCAGATGATACAGAAATGGCCAAACTAAAGCATCTACCTGGAATCAGTGACATCATAAATTCATTCCAGAGTGAAGTTGAGTCAGCCTCGGATTTATTCTTACAGACAGGCCTGGCCCGTGATCAGCAGAAGAGGCACGAGCAGAGCCAATTCGAGCTGGCTTTGCACAGACTGCGTGTGAAATACGCAAGTGAGTCGGTGCACATGATGGAGGACTTCGGGCGTACCAAAAAGAGGTCTCTGAAGTTATTAGCAGCTCAGCAACACGTAGAGTTGATCGATCTCGATCCCCTTCAGGCCACACTCAGTAGTTTAATAAGCTCGCTAATGGACTTAGAAATGAGGCAAGTTGAACAATGTGAAGAAATCATCGGAGAATATGAAACTAAATATTTCGAGATTAAGCAAGCATGCTTGGATGGCCAGCAGAACTACTTCCGACTTGTGGAAGAACATGAAAACAACTACACTCGTGATCTTATGCAACTTGTAAACGAACTTCTGGAAAAGGCGATCAAGGAGGAACTACCTGAAGATCTCCCGGATGAGGCTAACTCACTGCTAATAGACCGTGATGCTTGCATGAATGCGATCACAGGCTCTCACGATATCCACGTAGGAAGATTGTACCGCCGCGAGGACGAAGCAAAACATAACGAAGAATTGCTTTTTAAACTTGCGCTCAAGAAGTATCGCGAAGAAGAACACAATCGGAGTCGAAATCGCATCATGGAACTCAAGTCGTTTGAAGAAGGCTGCTTCAGTGACTTAAAGGAATTGATCACTCAGGAGATAGACGACGAAGCCGACGGTGATCCAGATTAGACTCCGGTGCCGCTGCAGCCAGCGCAGCTGCTCACCGGGTCCTCTTGTTAGCTATATCCGGCTATGGTTAGTCCAGGCGCACCCCCAGGTGTCGTGCCAACGGGGGGGGGGTTACAGTGGGTCGCCGACTCGGAAGCGCCCATAATACGACATCAGCACACACCGGGCGCTGCGCACCGTGGCCCGAGTGCGTGGCCGCGCCGCGGGAGCCGCCCTAGGTTGCGGTTTACGGGAAAACCTGTGACGGTCCAGGGGCAGGTTATTCGGTTTTACTTTACCGGTGATTCGCCGCCGGCGAGTTTACTGCCGGGCCAGTTTTTCGGCGGCCGAAGAGGCCCTTCAAGCCGTGTAGCGGGAATTGTCCCTTCAAGGTATACTTCTCTTACTAGCTTGAGGTTCACAGTGCAGTGGATATATGCCAGCCTAGTTGCCCACTTGTATCTTTTGTACGAGGATACGCGGGTGCGGTACAGTACGCTACTCTACTATTATTCTACTACTATCATGCTAGTATTGTATCTACCCGCGGTATCTTCTTCTTTCTTTCTCTTGCACACTTTTAGTGACCGAGGGGCCTGGGGGTTGCGTTCGCAGCTCACTGCTTAGTGTTACTAGATCCCCGCCGGTTGGTAGGGCAGTGTAAATATCTACCTTTCTAGTCTACAGTGAAGGGCTTATATCCCTTTACAGCCGTGGCGTCCCGCGTACTACGCGGCGCGCGTGACGCGCGGGCCCGGGAACGACCGAAATCAACTCCGCTTCATTGGCGCGGATATTACGGCGCTTCGCGGTTCCTCCTGCGAGGACGGCGCTGGTTGTGTTAGGGGCTTGGCAGCCGGTTTACTTCGAGTTTACTTCAAGTTGAGGTGCAACTTTACTTCAATTTACTACGGAAACTAGCCGTTTCCCGCAACTAGCGGCGCCGGCAAATCGAGTTGCGGCAAACGAAAAACCTGCGACGCCTCCGGCAAAGCAAGTAAACCTGCACCTGCCGGCGAATTACGGCAGTAAACCGCATTGGTTGCCGCAACCTAGGAGCCACCCACGTTTAGCCCCCCCCCCAGCCCCTATGGCCCTAATGGAGCGGCCTACGCCGCCTCGGGGTCGCTCTGGTGCTGTTTGGAGTCTAGCTGGCTAGACTTGTCGTGCCGCAGCGGCTTCGCCACGCCGGCGCTGGGGGCTTTAATCAGCCAGCCCCCCCCCCGGGGGTGGGGTTCAAACTAGAAAGCGTCGTATTTTCCGCGGGCTCCGGGGCCCCGGGCAGGCATCGAATTTCCCGCGTTTGAGGCATGAGGCACCTTAAGCGCCGCCAAGTCCCATTGGGTTTCTCATGTCCAGGTTGCTGGTTTGTCGGGGGCAAGGCGGATACCGGGTCCTGGTTGGCGACCTGACGCACTCTGACGCACGCGAAAGTGCATGGGTGGCCAGAAGCGCCTGGATGTTCAGGGGCTCTCGCAGCAGGGACTCTAATTGGGCCTGAGTCAAATCTCGCGCACTCGGTAGCGCCCATTGGGTCTGGCGCAAAGGCGCACAAGCAGCGGTCTTGAGTTTCTCAGGGCGGGAAATTTGGGTGCTTTGTTCTTATTTATTTTTGCATCTTGGATAACTTCCAATTTAATGCAAGAGAAGAAATCGCACACCCCGGCGTGATAGACTTCTGCTCTAAGGCTCTGGGGCTCAGTTGATTATTTGCATAAATCTTTGGCTGCCGCATATGCAGCTCATATCTGGATGCGAACATGTGGGACCCGGGATACGACTAAAACGATATATCCAATACAAAGCGCTCGCCAAGTGTCACATCACAGGAAATGTATATCACCTATTTGGCATCAAAGCAGCAACACGTGAATATTTGATTATGAATTTGCTTCGCTGGGCTGCACGATTTGTTTCATCATACATGAGTCGGTTCTCAGTCTGAAGTTTTCGTAGGATCACTTCGAGTTCAACAAGTTCAAACGCATTATCTTGTTCTGAGATTAGTGAGTTAGCAATTGTTAAAAGTTCCATTACATGAATTTTTTCTTGTACTTGATGCATCGATGCTAGGTGGCTATATGCATCAAGCATGATCTTAAAGCGACTAGGATCGATATGATCGGCACAAAAACTTTGCACTCCATCGTTCACATGAGGCTCGCTGTCCCGGTGATTGGTACGTGCACGCTTAGCAGTCGATTCTTCTACCTGTGCACGCAGTCGATTACCATTCTCCCCCGAAGCATTTTCTTGGCCCTTGGGGGAATACCATAACGGGCTTTTCATCAGTATCATCAAGCTGCATATCGCCATATAGAGCGAACCTATTTAAGTCAGCAACGAAATCAAGGGCTGGTGGAATCATCTGCGAATACATTGCACAGGTTGATCGACGAGAGAAATTTCAGTGCAGCTTGACAATCACGGCTATCTACTAGGGCTGAAAGTCTCACTTTCGCATGCGCTGTGGCAATCCGTATAAGAGACTCGAGGCACCGTGCGGTTACCTGCACAAGGGTACATACTGGTCCACTGCAGAGTTCCCGAGTCCAGCCTCAGACTCTGCAAGATGCTGGTAAAGTGCGGTCATCAGCCTTGGTACGAAGGTCTGCATAAGCATTTGCAATGCTTTCCCTTGCCTCATCACCCAGTTTGGGCTCAACGTGGTGTCTTGCATAATTTACATATTTTCGAACAAAATCGGAATGCAGTATGGCATTATCAACCGATGGTGATACGGATTTTCCATCGCCCTGGAATTTTGATCTTTGGCTCTAAAAAATCAGGGCCTGGACGCCGTAGACATGCGTCATTGCCACCACATTGTGAGAGACATGACCTGAAAATAGACCCTGACTCAAACCACTGATGAAGTCGCATAAGCCTGAAAATAGACCCTACACTGTGAGCTCGCCAAATTGATGATTTTTCGTCTTCATCGGGAACTGGTGGTGTTTCTCCGAGCTCAGCCGAGTCATGACCAACATGAACAGCGTCATCACCTGTTGTTGCGTTATCGGAATCAAGCAATAATATATAACATTGGACCTAGGACAGCATCAAAATTTCGATGCAGATCAGTGTCGAGAGGCTCAGGTGCCATGTCCTGGCCTGGGCGACGGTATTTATGTGAGCCAAGTACATGATCAGCGACTCGACGATCTGACTCAGTATCGATATCATCAAGCACTATAAAAAGCAAGTCAAAACGGGAAAGTAATGAGTCTGGCCTAGTAAGTTATGATCAGACTGAGAAAATTAATGACATTCACGCCGACAGATGCAGGCCAACGTTCTCCTGGGGCCGTCGATCAGTATCATATTGGCCGTAGACAGGATTTGCCGCGGCAAGTACTGCACATCTTGCATTAAGGGATGCGTGAATGCCTGCTTTCGCCAGGGTAACAGTTTGCTGCTCCATCACCTCGTGAATCGCAACACGATCACCTGTAGATAAGTCGTGCCATAATTATTTAAAGTGATAAATTTCACCTGCTGACATCTTGTCAAACTCATCGATACAAACTATACCACGATCGGCGAGGACCACGGCTCCAGCTTCTAGGCGTCGATCACCAGTCTCAGGGTCATGAGCAATAGCTGCTGTCAATCCGACACCAGAAGAGCCACGACCAGTTGTACCTATCCGGACCCTATTTGTCTCATTATAATATGGCCTTGTACCCAGCCGCTTACTGACGGCCAGAGGTGCAACACGCATGGCTGCGCGCAGTAATTGGCTCTTTGCTGTCGATGGATCACCAACGAGTAGCAAATTTATATCTCCTCGAAGTCGGGAACCATTTTTAAGCATTTTCTCAGTTCCCCCAACCTGGGCGAGCGGCAACTAATAACGCAGGATTGCTGGATCAACATTCAATTCTTGACTTCACCGGATGCAGACCAGCTGTAAGATCAAAGCTCGCTTAATGACATCATGGCCGTATATCGATGGCGCAAAAGCAGAGCCAAGCGCACGCAACATGCAACCAAATCCCGAGGGCGTGGTTACAAGATCTGTCTGGTGTGGTGAGGTGTGCTCGAGCTGAGTTGCCTAGTGCACACTCATACTTTCAGTAGAGAGCTCTATTGGACGCAGTAGACTGCACAACTGCCCTAACATTGGCCACATCTCTCGAGGTTAGGGCCATACTTGTATTATCGTGACCATCGGTGGCAAGAGAGTTAGCAAGGATTACAGTGCGAAAGACACCCGATGGAATCGAACTGCTATGAGCAAGTGCACGATAGACGCCAGCACATCGCACACGGTCTCCCGGTTTGACAGAGTCAACAAGGTCATCATCAAGGAAAGCGTCCACCTGGAAAAGGACGATATTAATATTGATATGCATCGCGCAGATACAAACCGAGCGTGGAAGCTGTCCAAGCGGGGCTCGCTCAGGTGACTCTTGGATCGTGACGCACTGATGATCCTTGTACATACTAAGTCCAAACTCAGTTTCAAGCACGTTGCCCTCAACATCGCAAGTCGGATATGACGCGGTATCCCGAGGCAATTTTTCATTGTTTTTTCCGCCGGCAATAGGCGGTATAGCACCCAGATCGAGTGCGGTGGAGTCACGATATTCGCGGATTGTGTGCTGTTGTGTTGCTGCACACCAGTGCACAGAACGCACCACTTTAGGCTGAGACAGCGAGCATCGTGTCACAACACCCTCCACACACACGAGCGCACCCAGTTGGCATGCTCGTAACCCACGTGGGGATATTTGGTGTGAGCCAAATGCTCCAACAAAACCAATGTTTGCTCGCACATCGACTGAATTGCTAGTTTCACTGGTTCTTGCTCTCAGATGTATATACTGGTGCAAGCGTTCAGTAATAACCTCGGTCCATGGAGCAAGAAATTGCAATGGCTGCCGCAGCAGTCGAGCTGCTAGATCAGGGTCAAACTGCCTAATATCGCTCACGCTTAAAAGTAACCGCTGAGAAGCTTTGCCATCAGCTGTCTTAGCGAGGTCGCGAAGTCGATGATCATATTCCACGCCGCGTCTTGTGTCTAAAAATGATGTGAAGAAGGTTTTATTGTCACTGAATATCTCGTCGACACCCATACTATCAGGGCGCGCGGGCAAAAGCACGGACAAAAGATTCGCACTCCACCGGCGAATTACCCCGGCGGCTATACCATAACCAGCAGGCTAAGGGCAGTTTAAGTGGGCGCCAGAATTGGCTTAAGAAGGAGGCTACTCTCGTAGACTCAGGCACGGTACCGCACAGACATATTGTCAGCGAGGCTATTATAAAGTACGAACTTCTGAGACCGCACGTGACAAGGAGGGAGGGAAGCACTATGACATAATTTTCTCGTAGATGTTGTAATAATGCGTAGCGGCATAGCCACCCAAACGACAGACCTTGGTTCCATTCGCTGGCTAGAAAGTTAGGATAGTTTGCTAGCTTAATAACGTCGCTATGACGTCAGTCAAACTACTATCCAGCAGGTGCACTGTCCGGCGACTGTGCAACCTCGCTGAGCCTGGTGCTATCTGGCACGTCGCTGTGACGCTAACCAGACAGACACCACAGACACAGAAGAGCGCTATGCACTCTGTGCCTGCTTGGGAGTCACTCCTTCAGTTCGCTGTCTATAAGACTTGAAACTGGATTAGAATGAATTAAGGAAGGGAAGGGGAAACTAGCAGGATACGCGGTAGGAGCGCAGTGGGGTAAGGTGCACTGCAACATAGCCTCATCTGCTTGGGGCAGATATTGTGCTAGTGCTGGCTCATAATCTGCGGGAGCAGCTCCGGGACGCGGTAGGAGCGCAGTGGGGTAAGGTGCACTGCAACATCAAGATGCAGTTCACTGAAGATGAAGGTAGAAATCTCTCTATCTCTCTACTGGCTCCATTCACCTTTACAGTTGAGGGCCCCGGAGGACAGGCTCAGTAGACAGGGGCTTCTAGCGGGGGGACCTAGACGAAACGCCCACCATCGCGGCCGCTCCGAAGCTCGATTTTATGTAGGCAGCACCAGACACCGGGAATTTCCTAACGCACTATAGCCGCGCTGGCCGCGGTGGCACGGTACTATTGATAATTACGACGTGCGGACTTTAATTGTCAGGGGTCCATAAGCAATTGCTGCAAAACCCTCACGAATCCCATCATCCTATTGGTCGGACCATCAGGGTTTACCTAACCCTAACCCTTAAATACGCGACGGTATGGGCGCGGACTTTATGCGAGGCTTGGTTCGGCATGATCTGCCCCACGAGGCTCGAAACCGAGGGCACATTCCAAGGGTAATTTAGGGGCGTGGATGCGATTGAAACACTCCGCGCGCGCGGGGGAAGAGCACGAGCTGAGATCTCATCGCCTGCGCGCGGGGGAGGAACGGCCAAATCGATCTCGGCTTCTACGCGCCCTCGCACGAAACGGAGTCGAGATTCGGAATGCCCGCCCCCCAAAACCCCTTAGAAAGTGCTCTCGATTCCCCCCCTCATAGGGCAGATCATAATATTCGATAATTCCAAGTCCCTCGAGCTGACCCAGCTCTAGGTCACGAGCAATTACCCGGTGAACGACACTGCCGAGATTTTATGTCCGAGGCTCGATATTACACCACCCCTCGCCGACACGGGGGGGGGGGGGGGGGGGGGGCCTACTTGGAATCACCAAAATCCCCCCGTCCAGCCCCGGGGGGATTTGCCCCCCAAAACTGCTGAAAA